CATTCTTTGAAGCTGTAGCACTATGTTGGTTGAGTCTTTTCTTGAAATACAAAACAAGATTAGTACTCATACCATAATATGCCAATCTTTCACAACACTCATTTCCTGTCAACAAATATCAAGAATCAACACAACCCCACTTCAGAATTTTTTATTTTTAAACCAAAAACACTCAAATAATGTTCTAAAAAAAGGATTTTTTTTTTTTAATTTGAGAGTACCTAAGATAAAAGGGCAAGCTTTCCATGTTCCAGTTTCATTCCTTTTAGCAGGATTATTTCTGAAATCAACTGTACCATCTTTAGTATACAAATCATCTTCTGCAACAACTTCTCCCATAGCCTTTCTATATGCTGCAAATTTGAATTATTTTTTTAAAAAAAAAAAACAACAAGATATTGGTATTTCACCTAAAAATATGAACTTTAAAATAAACAGGAAATAAAACAAAGAAAACATTATAACAAAAAATGGTATAGTTGTAGTACATACTTGAATTTGATATTGTTTGGTTTGGTTTCCAGCAGAGTTGGAAAATCAAGAAAATTGTGTGCTTTAAAAAGATAAGCTCTAAGAGTGAGCTGGATGTAGGAAATGATTTATAATTGAAATCATCGGCAGTAAGTAATCCAAAAAGCTTTTTTGAATAAAGTTTTTCTCCTGTCCTAGCACTAGCACTAATGAGTTGACATGTGACTTCTATATTATGTAGATACTTCATGTGCAAACAATATTTTACGGAAAATAATATAGTTTGATTTGATTTGGAGTTTAAGAAAATAAAGAAAATTTTTAATTATGTGATTATAAATTAAATTTATATTAAATGTATAAAATTATATTTTAATCTTATGACCTTAAACATGTCAAATGAAAAATTGTTACGAAAAAAATTATTATTTTTGAAATAAATTAAAAAAAGAAAATCATTCTTTTTAAAAAGAAGAGAGTATTATTTAATAAATCATAGGTAGTGGCATACCCCTTAAATCGAGATTTAAGATTCAAGTCCTAATATAAAAGAGAGTGCTATCTCTAAGTGAGTTTGTGATGCACGATTCAGATTTTATATATTAGGTGAATAATAGATTTAAAAAAAAAAAAACTCTTAGACTTAATATCTTAATTCAAAAAATTATTTATTTTTAAAATTTCAAATTAAATCAACATTAAAAAACAAATTAAAACGGCAAACGCAATTTCGGCTTAATAATTATAGAGTATATACTAATGTGGGAAGTTGGCAAAACTGCCAGCTCACTGATTCGCCGCATGTGATTTAACCCTCCCAATATGAATTTCAACTAAATAAGTTGGTATTCAACACTAAGGTTTGCGACTATATAATAATAGTAATAATTAATAATAATGTGTTATATCTACGTTAGTAGTAAGATTATATTAAAATTGTATTTTATAATATGACATTATCATGATGATCTATTCATTTGTTTGCTTGTCTAATCATTCACACATAAAAAAATCTGCATACGCAATAGACTTTAACACTGAAGTTGAGAAATGTCAAGTTGTGCGGCACTCAAAGACAAGTTTGTTCTCCTCGACATGCCGTTTTGACTTGAGGTCAACAAAGCAGTGGTATAGATTTAGGTGGTGGATCGAACATTTTTCATCGAAAAATTATATTTATGTATATAAAATTTTTATGAATTATATTAATTTAATAGAATATATTAAAAATAATGATGCATGCACTAATCTTGTATATTATTAATTTTTTTATACTCGTTTTCAACCTAAGTATAACTAATGTTTGCATTAGTTATACACTCTAATGTGTATCAATTGATTTCTAATTATTAGTAATGCAATAATTTTAATGCATGCATAAAGACTCAAGTGCATCTTTGTAAATTATTTTTTTTATGCAATGTATACTATTTATTTATGCTTCAAACCAAACGGTACATAAAAATAATCTATATATAATTTAATGGAAGCATCACTAATACAAATACAATAAATTTAGCATTATTTTTATATACTCTACGAAAAGATAACTTATAAATTTCTGTCACTACAGCCAAGTCATAGTAATTCAATTATTTTACATGAACTTATAAAAGATATACAATTTCAAAAATATAACAGTTCAGAAAAGGTGGACTTCATTAGATTGAAATTCTAAATTCTAACATTGATCTAAGGGTGTGTGATAAAGTTGGATTTTAGTTTAGTGGAATGGTGTAGGTGTGAAAAGGAAAGAGGAAAAAGAAGTGCACTAGAAAGTGAAAGCTGGTAAGTGGGGCAATAAATATGAAAATTCCAATTAATTAGTAAACTTTGACAAGCGCATGGGAAAGAGAAGAATAATCAAAGTTGTATTTGATTACCCCCGAATTATTTGTCGTTATATTTATCGTAAGTTAATTTGATTAATTTTTAAAAGTAAATTAGATCACATTAATTTGATATTTTAAATAAAAAATAGATATTCTAAAACTACATAAAAAATACTATAAATTACAATTTTTTGCATATTAATATGATTAAAAAAATACATTTTAAAATATTAAGCAAAGTTTTTATAATTTTGACTCTAAAAATAGAAACTATAACAAATAATACCGAACAGAGAGAGTATTATGTTCACTCTAATTTATTACGTTGGGGCCGCCCTAACACTATATTTAACCAAAACTATACTAGTATATCATCTCTTGAGTCCAAAATTGATTGTTTTTGGACAAAATGTACACAGATTTGTAAAGACGTTTAAATTATTAACTTAAAGAATATCTAAAGAATTAAATAGTAAAATTTAAGAATTATGAATTTAAAGTAATTAGAGTATGCATGTATACTATCAAAATCTTGTGGTGTTTATTGCATTAACTTACATTTTCAGATGTTTATTGTTATAAATTTAAATACACACGTTACTAAACTTCCCAAATATGCCATCGTCATAAATAAATTATTTTCATTCATAACAGCGAGTAAGTTTTTCTCCTTCATAAATAATTATTTTCTTCTAATTTAATTTTAAAGCATATGAAAAAATTATGTGTTCCATTATTGTAGATGTGACGTTGGACATGTGCTTATTTGAGTCAATGGGGTAGAAAATGGAACACTTGAGTATTATTATTAAGAGAAGCCGGCGACATCTTCGCTTAAATTCTTATGCGTAAGTTTATTTTTTTGTGATTTTTCTGTTACAGAATATGGTTATATTATTTAAATAAAAAAGATTATAACTATATGGTCAATATTTTTTAAATTTGCTATTATTTTATTTGATGATGGGTCAACATAGCACCTAGATCAATCAATCAATGATCATGTCCCATTGTTTTCGTTATTCATTATTAATTCCGCATAGGAGAGTTTGGTTGGAAATAAATTATTTTGATTTAAGTTATTCCATTATGTATATGGGATAACGTATCTTATTACTGGGTATAAATGATGGGATACATAATTTCTAAACTATCTAACAACTCCAACCAAACGCAAGATAAAATTATTTATTATTATACATTTTATCTCACACCAAACGACTCTTAACAATATAAACAAATTTAGTGATAGATTTCTTGTTCACACTGAAGGGGGAAAAAACGAAAAATAAATTGTTATATAGTTTGGAATCTAATTAACTTTGTATCATACTTTTAAAATCAAAATGGACTGTAAAATTGATGAAGTAAGGGAATGTCCAGGCCCAACATTTTATTTGCTTAGCAGATGAAAGCCCATCGAAGGAAAGCAAAGAGCAAACAAAATGTTCAGGCCCAACACTGACAGATACATACTCATATCTCATATATATACACACGCATTAAATTAAGTGTAATTGATTACAGATACATTGTATTCAAATGTGATTCGCATGTATCTGAGATATATTGTCTCTGCCTTTTACACTATGTATCATATTTTTCAGAATGTATCTGAGTTTTACAAATTATATCAATTGTATCGAGCTCAATTATTTACGATTTGTGCTATGTAAGATAGACTTCAAGGACGTATCGGAGAATCGGAGCCTTACCAATAACGTCAAAATTTAGATAACCAGTCAACTAAGCTACTGAAACTATTAGTATCTATGATAGTCACTCTCTAACTACAAGCTTGTTTTATTTCACTTCTTTCTTCCACAAAAAAATAATTTTTCAAACTCTTCTGGAAGAATTAACGCAGCTTACCTACAACTGTTTCTTTAGTGAAACAATACAACTAACATACAGCTCATTTTTTTCAATAATACTTACTTTGAGAAAATATATAATTATGATCTTACTAATTAGAAAAGCTTTTAACATCTCTGACTTCAATTCTAGGTTTAATCTGCTTTGAACCATGTGAAAATCTATCTTAATATAACCTACTGCTGAGTTTTATTAATAGTTATTTCACTATAAGTAATACATAAGCTTTAGTTGGTACTGATTCAATTCTTGCAAATGTCATCTTTTTGACTCCAAGTTTTTTTTGCATCCCTTTTTGGTCATATTTGCTAAGTTTGATTTAATTTGTTGTACCAAATTAAAGATACAGTTGGACCAACCCAAGGTCAAAATTGGGATATTAAATTTGGAGTTTAACTTCTATTCACCGGAGGTTTGGTGTAAAGGAATTATCGCACTATCAGGTGTATCAAAATAATAACCTGGAAAATAAAGTAAACGATTCACTACAATTAATCAAATTATTATTTAATTAAAAAAAGTCACAGTATTATCTGTGATTATAAGTTAAATCGTGAAATTTTTTAAGAGTTAAAGATGAATTAATTTTGGATGCATGTACGTGTATAGCAATGTAAACTTTCTTGAAAAAGGAGTTTACCATTTCAATTATATATGAAACAACGTTGTGTAAATTATAAAAGGAGAAAAATAAGAATATCAAAATATGAGCTTGCTCTTCACATTGAAGCATCTATAGTTTATCCACCAAACTAATTAATTAAAATGAAGTTCATATAGAGACTATTTATATATAAGGTTACTTATTACAGTAAAGTACATATAAAAAAATTATAAGATACATAGATCAATAATATGTTGGGCAAAATAGCAGAATGGCTGAAAATTTTGGTGGTATTGGCTTTCTTGTGGCCAGTGTTGGTACTATGCAAAGGCAATATTCGTCATTACAAATTCAATGTAAGTTCATATCCTACATTTAACTAATTATTATTCCGCGTCGGTGTATAAAATTCGACACATAAATTTACTAACTCGATCAGTTTTAATCCGCTCAAATTCAATTCAACTTGCTCATTTGACATCCGCGATGAGATTTGGTACATGCAGGTGATGATGACAAATGTAACAAGATTATGCTCAACTAAGCCTACTGTAACAGTAAATGGCAAATTTCCTGGTCCAAGTATTTATGCTAGGGAAGATGATACACTACTTATAAAAGTTGTTAACCAAGTTCACTATAATCTTTCCATCCACTGGTTAGTTTTCTATCACAAACATATATATATCCTACATTTTGCACAAAAAATACATGAAAAATAACTGAGCAATTTTTGTTTTTTAATTTAGCGATTGAATAAACGACTCTTTAGGTTAATTCTTCGATTAACGTTACGTAGTATTAAACAGGCATGGTGTGAAACAACTTCGAACGTGTTGGGCCGATGGACCGGCTTATATAGCCCAATGTCCAATACAGCCAGGAAAAAGCTATGTATACAATTTTACAGTAAGAGAACAAAGAGGAACATTATTTTGGCATGCACATATACTTTGGCTTAGGGCTACTGTCCATGGTGCTATTGTTATCCTCCCTAAGCTTGCTTTGCCCTACCCTTTCTCAAAGCCCAAAAAGGAAGTTGTCATCATTTTAGGTAACGTATTCATATTACTATACTGATAGTATAAAGAATTACACGATATAAGTGAACCAATTATAATCAGATGTAGGTTCAGAATTTTGAATTTATATTAGTTTTGGGTTAAAAAAAAAGACAATTTACTAGGTTCTGTGAATATATAACCTGAATTCTAGCTCTGCTCCTGATTATAACTACAGTTTAATGTTGTCAAATCAAGATGACTCACTCAATGACTATCTTTTACAAATTTTGATTTCTCTTTATTTTGTTTTACTTATCTATCCATAAATTTGGTGGCTCAATTGACAGGTGAATGGTGGAAGTCAGATGTTGAAGCTGTTGTTGATGAAGCAACACAATCAGGTTTGCCACCTAATATATCTGATGCTCACACCATCAATGGCCTTACTGGTCCTGTCTCTACTTGTTTATCACAAGGTAAAATCTATACATTTTTTTCCTTCCGCTCAGAGACAAATTCAAAATTTGAACTTTATGAGTCAGGACTTGAAATTCTACCATATCGCATCTAATTTACCGGTTTCCAAACTTATATAGTGATTTTAAAAATATATAGAGGGTCTAAGTCAAAGTCACCCTTGCTTCCACTAGGGAGGAGGTAGTATATTCAAAAAAAACTGAACTTTATGAGTCAGGACCTGGAATTCTACCATGTCACATCAAATTTACCGAGTCCCAAATCTACTATATATAGTGATTTTTAACATACATACAAGGTCTAAGTCAAAGTTGCCCTTCCTTTCACTCAAGGGCAAAGATAGCATACAACATATGTGTTCGACATAACACAATAGTTTTGATCTAAATCTTATATTTATGTGACAAGATCATTAAACCTGACTCATGAGGTTCAAAACCTGACTCCATCTCCGTAGATATAATTTTGTAATTTCCCAAATGCTTACTTTATATTTTTCTTTTGCTTCTAATGATCCACAGAAGGGTTCAATTTCCAAGTGGAACCAGGCAAGAAGTACCTATTGAGAATCATCAATGCTGCACTAAATGAAGAACTTTTCTTCAAAATTGCTGGCCATAACCTCACTGTGGAAGAAGTAGATGCTGCCTATGTTAAACCCTTTGAAACAGAGACAATTTTAACAGCTCCAGGCCAAACAACAAATGTCATTTTATCAACAAATCATAAAAATGGAAAATACTTAATGGTAACATCACCTTACATGGATTCACCAATCTTAGTAAACAACAAGGCAGCTACTGCAACATTACAATACACAGGCACAAACAATTCTTCCACAACATTCACCGTGCCACCTCCTAGAAACGCCACCTCTATCGCGTTTAACTTCATGGATTCACTCCAGAGCTTGAATTCGAAAAGATATCCAGCAAAAGTCCCAATCAAAATCAATCATTCTCTGTTTTTCATCATTAGTCTTGGACTCAACCCTTGTGCAACATGTTACAGGGGATTTCGAATCGTTGCAGCTATTAATAATGTTACATTTGTTATGCCTAGTGTGTCACTACTTGGTACACATTTTTTAAACAAAAGTGGAGTGTTTACTGATGATTTCCCTGGAAATCCACAAAATGTATTTGATTATACTGGGGTTCCACCAGAAAATTTGAGGACTATTGAAGGGACTAAGCTTTATAGACTTGAGTATAATTCTAATGTCCAAATAATATTGCAAGACACAGGATTATTGAGCCCTGAAAATCATCCAATGCATTTACATGGATTCAATTTTTTTGTTGTTGGAAGAGGCAAAGGAAATTTTAATCCAAAAGAAGATTTTAAAAAGTTCAATCTTGTTGATCCTGTTGAGAGGAATACTATTAATGCACCTTCTGGTGGTGGTTGGGTTGCTATTAGGTTCCGAGCGAATAATCCAGGTAAAAGTTTATATACACTGACAATATCAATATATTACTAGCATTATTTATTATGACATGTTATGTGTTTGTTATATTTTAGCTGACTTGATAGTGTGGGAATTCTTTTTTATAGTATAGATTTATAAAATTATGGTTAATTTTGTAGGTGTTTGGTTTTTTCATTGCCATTTGGAGGTGCACACAACATGGGGACTTAAGATGGCTTTTGTGGTAAATAATGGAAATGGACCTAATGAGTCTCTTTTACCTCCTCCAGAAGATATACCAAAATGTTAAAAGTTTTTTCTATATTTTATGTGTGTATATTTTCAGATTTGATTCTCTTGTTTAAGCAAGCAAAAAAAAAAAAAACCTGCTATGAGTAAACAATTTGCTTCTTTTTAAAAAAAGGTTTGAATATCATAGGGTAAAGTTTGTATTATGTGAATTTATTTTATGCTAATGTTTTGTGAGAAGTTGTAAATAATATTAGAGGTACTTGGCTATTTTTCTAGTACAAAGTAGAAAAGTGGTTATTTGTGTATTTCACGCATAATGTATATCAACGAAGAAATTGCATAATTTACCCATAAAATAGGTAACTTTTAATTTTTTCTCTTCAAAATCGAACTTATACCTGTTGGGGCTTAAGTCTTTTAAGGGTACGAGGTATAACTAGTATGATATAATGATGCTAAAATATGAATGTATGGCCTGCAAAAAGGTTATTTGCTTTGATGAACAAAAATGAATGACCAGCACAATTATGGGCCAAAAGTGTAAATGGCCCTATATCATATATCTTACTGGGCCCAAATGGACGTCATGAACAAAAGCATTTTGGTCAATGTTCAGATTCAGCCAAATCCGTAGTGCATAAGCTAATTACTTAGATACACTATATTTTGCAATACTACATATATTACAATATTTTTGTGTGTTCGGGTACGTACAAAAACATTGCATACATGTATCTTGGGGTTGAAATTAGGTGTAATTTATTTCAGATAAATTGTATTTGAGTGGAATCACATGAATATGTGATACATAAATCTCCTATGTATTTTGTATTACGGATACATGTGAATCACACCAGATACATACAGATATATGTATTTAGTGTGATTCACATTTATCTAGGATATAAAACAAAATCTCGTTCGCCTCCCTCCTTATCTCACTCTCCTCTCTCCCTATTTCAGGATATTTAGTAGCAAAAATACATATATCTAATTGTATCTTCTTTAATATATGATAGAGAACTTTAATTAGTTATAAAACACATGACATTATGGTAATAAACATGTCTAATTATGTTGTCTTTTTCCATTAATTATCTTGTAGTGGAATATATGGGCTATTGGCCCAATTCAAAGTAAACTTGGATTGCATGTAACATCAACCTTTAAGGGGCTGTTTGGTTTAACACAAACCAAAAACAAAATAAAAGCAATACCCAAACTTTATAATACGATTATTTCTATCTCTCAACCTAAAAAAAAAAAAAGGCAACACACAAACTTTATAATATGGTTTAATGTCATTGTTTTCCACTTTCCACAACATCTAATGTGACATTGCATAAGTTATGACCTTTGTACGTTGGAATTGCACTTCCCTAAAATGGAAATTGGACATGGAGAGAGATGAACAAAGCATAAGCTACGTGTCGCGATGATTTGATAAAATTTACTTTACTTTATTACACGTTTTTTATATTCAATCTAAAATTTTTGAAAATATAATTCACTTTTGGGGATATCAAAATCAATGTCTATACGTTTTTATATACCTTCGATTAAGGGTTAACGAATTTTATACATCGCGCTAGAATTTGCCGTAACAGGAAGTAATTGCAGGGTGCACGCGTATCCACGTGAGTTATGATGCACACGCTTACCAAAATTTTCTTATAAATCAGAAAGCACATGGTTTCGCTGAATTTTGACTTTTTTTCTTTTTAGGAAAGAAAAAGAAATAAGGAATCTTTCCTTTAATGGAAACAAAAAAATGTTAGTGGTTTTATTACCAAAGTGACAACTCATTTCCTATAATGGACTATCATTTATATATTTGATTAATTCCACTCCTAATGTTTTTATATTCCTCTTTGTGTTTTTGGGTTCTTCTTCTAAATTATGAACATGCTGACCATCATTTCAACTACTATGCTGCCCTTTACTACCAATCATTTTCAATAAACAAAGTCTGGGTATTAGGAGAGGCGAAGTAGGTCGAGAAAGTACTCGAGACAGATGATTAAATAAAACATGATATGTTTTTAGTTTATTAATATCATAATTTTTAATATATAGATATAATAATAAAAAATTAAGGTTAATGTTAGTATATAATCGAGTTTTTCTTATTAGTAGTATTATAAGTACTTTTTTATTTATTTTTTTGTCGATTACTAGATTCAATCGAAATAGCCTCTTCGATCCATCTTTCCATAATAGCGGTAAGATTACATACACGTCATCCTTTCTGGACCTCTTGTGAAATTTCATTGATATGTTACTGTTGTGATATTTTCAAATGGAAAGCTTCAATTTTTATAAAGTCATTTCATCGTATAGTTAATAATACTATTAAAAATGAAAAATAAAAAGAAAAATATGATGGTCTTTAGTGTCTGAAATATTTTTGCCCACTAGTTTACCTTCAAGGATTAAACGAAAGTTAATTAAAATTGAGTTGAAACCTTTTTTCGTTGTGCAAATTAATTATTTGTTGGAAAAAAAATGGGAAAAAAAGGGGGACAGAATCTTTATGTTGATATGATTGGTCAGCATCTGGCTGAACTCTGTTGTTAAAAAATTAGTATTACTAAAAATATTGAAATAAATTAATAGTAATTCATAAATTAAACCTTGAAGTTGGTATCAATTGAAAATTGCAAAGCCAGCATGTTTGAAAAAATCCTAATAATTGAGTTTGAAAATTTCATTTTTTTTTCTTGGGTCCTTTTGGTGATTAATTCATTTTTTCTTCAAAATACCGTTTAGTTGGATAAATTGGTTGAAATTTCTCGAAGATAAAGTCTTCAATTTGAAGAAAATAAATTTGATTAGTTGTTAAAGTAACTCTTTCGCTCACAATTTTTTTTTAAAAAAAAAGTAAATAGAGCAATATTTATTTTTGAACTATAAAAAGAATAGAAAAAGGCCTAAAATATGCTCGAAGTATAAAAAATGGTACAAAACTATCCTTAATCCACCTATTGGCTCAAAAATACTCTTTTCACCCACCTATTGACTTCAAAATACCTTGTTATCTGCCTTTAGATTCAAAATTAACTAATTATTTAATGGTTTCAAATTTAAACTATTTAAATATTTTTTAAAATACTTGGTGCTCAACTATTGGATATCATTTAATATATTAATATCATTTATAAATCAACCTATCCACTTATTACTAATTAAGCTCCATTCAATTAATAAATCATTTCTAATATCAAAATCGCCCTAAACACTATAAAGCACGACGAAGTTACCGATTCCTTAAAATGACATTCAAAATTATTTGAGTTTGAATTGAAACCCCAACTAAATTTAGGTTGAGACGCTTATTTAGGAAGACACTTTCAATTAGATTCTGTTTCAAATTTGAATTCGAAATTTATGATTAAATGAAGAAGTAACACCTCCTTAATTATTTCATGCACTCTTTTTAATATAATTTTATAAATATTTATTATTTATTTTAGATATTAAAACTTTAATATATTTTTTTTAAAAAAAAGTTTTTATTAAGTAACATCACATAATTGAGGAGAATGAATAATTAAGATGAACATAGACAAACTTTTATGTTTATCGGTAATTTTTTATTTCGACACTTGAATTATAAAATGTTTTGATTGAGTACTTGAATGTATGATAATGTACTTCTATAGACATTTTCGACTCAAAATTTTTAGAAACACTCATTGGTAATTGCTTTCCTGTTGTGCATTAATAAATTGACAGATTTATTAATTGGGTGTGGTTTAATTAGTAATAGGTGGGTAATAGATTGGTTAATAAATTTTAGGAAAAAATCACAAATATACCCCCGAACTATCGTAAATGGTATGCAGATGCCCTCCGTCATACTTTAGGGACATTAATGTCAATGTCGTCCAAAAACTAGAACATATATACCCTTTATACTTGGCAGTATAGGGACACTTGACACAATCTTATCCATCGATCCGATGTCGGGTCGATGGATAAGATTGTGACCCATGTATGTCCGTTAGTATAAAGGGTATATACGCTCAATTTTTTGGATGACAGGGGCACCAATGTCCCTAAAATATGACGAAGGGTATCTGTATACCATTAACGATAATTCAGAGGTATATTTGTCTCTTTTCCCTAAATTATATTAATAAGTTAAATTATAACAAATAGTTGAACGCCATGCATTAAAAGAATATTTAGATGGTTCAAAATTTAAAATCGTCAAATAAGTGGTTATTTCTGAATCCAAAGGTGGTTGAGAAGGGTATTTTGGAGCCAATTGATAGATGAAAAGGGTATTTTGAAATCAATAGATGGATGAAGGGTAATTATATACTCCCTCCGTCCCTATTTGATTTTGTCCATATTTCCTTTTATATAAGTCCCTATTTACTTGTCCATTTTAACAAATCAAGAAAGGTTAACAATTTTTTTCCTAATATACTCTTACTCAATTCTAGAAAAAATTTAGTATTACTAAGTTGTAATGCATGTTTTTTGGAACAAGAAAATACATTTATTATACTTGTGGAGTTGCATAATCTTTTAAGCTAAAAATAAAATTATAACTAATCTATGATAATCATTGGTGCCTTAATATGTATGTCACTTCTAAAGTAGACAACTAAATTGGGACAAAGAAAAATACAATTTCTGATACTTCAAAATATTTTAGGTCCTTTTTCGAAAAAAAAGAAAAAGAAAAAGTGTCGATTACTTTTGTACTTTTTGTGTTTGCCATAGCTTTAACGAGACCATGTTATTTTTCTAATGATCTACTTGCACGCAATCCCAAAAAAATATTGCCACTTGTTGAATTTTAATTAGCCTTGGAGTACTTCAAATAGTCAATTTTTGGTGTTGAAATTAAATTCTGAGTTAATCTTAAAAGTTTGTGCACTAATCAGGTTTTGAAAAACTTAGTGGTTTATTGGCATGACGACACGTATGAGACAAAGTGAATGATTTTGTACTTTAGCTTTAAATACTTAAAACTCATAGCCGTACCTTTTTGTTATTCCCCTTAAATAATCAATTAATGCTTCTAATATACGATTCCCATAATACTTATGTGAGTATCAGAGAGATTAAAAGATTAATCTATAGTCATTTTTGAATCAAATGTGAAATCATTCTTATCAACATACTTATTTCCTATATATATATAAAAAAAAACATTTCTAAATTATTATTTGTCACTTTTAGAAACGTAGAAATCATTACCAAAAAGAGAAAAAAATATAATATTGAAGACTAGAAAGTTCATTAAATCATAGTGCACCAAATATATGAACTCATTTCAGAAATATAAAGCGTTCAACAATTTATTATTTTTCCCCACTAGACTATAATAATCAAAACAATGAAATCGGGGTGGGTTGGAGTTGAAGCGGCAACGAAAACAGAAATTTTATTAAAGATATTTAAAATCTAATATATATGTATGTAACATATTTTTTGACATTTATTTTGTATAGTTTCATATATATATATATATATATATATATATATATATGTATGTATGTATATATTATAATTTCTTTATAGTAAATGTTGTTTGTATTGGTCTTATTCTTGTA